TCTCTTGCTTTAAATATTCCCTGCCCCAGAAAATCCACAAAGGCAAATTTTCATGGGTGAAAAAATGTTCATCTTCTCCATGCATTTAATAAAAATTTAGTCAACAAATACTTAAAAGCTCCTTTTAGATGCCCAACATTTTTTTTTAAAAGCCACTTTGTTAAGGTATAATTGATATACAAAAAGCTGTACGTATTTGTATACAACTTGATAATTTTGGAGGTAAGTATACAATTGTGAAACTATCATCCCAGTTAACGCCATAAACATATCCATTACCTTCCAATGTTTCCCCCACCCTCTTTATTTTTGTGTGTGATAAGACCACTTAACATAAGATCTACCCCTTGGAAATTATTTAAGTTTAAATTACAGTATTGCTAACTATAGATGGTATGCTCTACAGGAGATCTCTAGTCATCTTGCATAACTGAAAGTTCATACCTTTTGCCCAACAACTCCCTGCTTCCTCCTTCCCACAGTTCCTGGTAACTAACGTTCTCCTCACTGCTTCTATGAGTTTGACTATTTTAGACTCCTCATATAAATTGATCATGTAGTATTTGTTCTTCTGTGTGTGGCTTATTTCACCTAGGAAAATGTCCTCTAGGTTCATCCATGTTGTCACAAATAATGGGATTTCCTTCTTTTTTAAGGTTGACTAATATTCCACTGTGTGTAAATAGCACATTTTATTTATCCACACATACACTGATGGAAAGGTGGGTTGCATCCACGTCTTAGTTCTATTTTTAATTTCTTGAGGAACCACCATACTGCTTTCCATACTGGCTACACCAATGATGCCCAGCATTAGTTCAGGTTCTTTCAGATATATCAGTAATGAACACAACAGAAAAAGATTCCTACTCTTAGAGAGCTTTCATTGTAGAAGGGGAAAACAATAAGCAACTAATTAAAAAAAAACAAATTTCATACTTTTTTTAAAGGTGTTAAGTGCTATGGAAAAAGAAAAGAGGAGAGAGGAAAGAGAAGAGGCTCCTATTTGAGTGGTCTCCAGGCTAGGCCTCAGAGAAGATGTGTCGTCTTATCAGCTAATGCAAGGACATAGTTTCACTACAATTGAGATGAAGGCTTTTAAGCAGAGAAATGACTTTTTTTCCCCCCAATAGCCATAAAATGTACTATTAGACCTGGGTGTCAAAAAGCATAGTTGATTTCATTTAAATGGAAGAAGTAATACTATAAAAAAAAGAAAAATGTGTTGATGGATAGGGCTATAAAACAACTACCTCGGATCTGGAACCCAAAATAACAGTTAAAGCGTGTAATTATGGCAGGTATTGCCCAAGGGGCTTTAGCCCTCAAGATAACGCCACATGTGGCCATTTTCATAGGTCAGTCATTTGTCTCTTATCCACATTCCAAAATCTGACCCAGGTTCATACAAGACACTTTATAGTTCATGATTTACCCTACTCAGCAAATATATACATGAAGAAAATTAACCCTTAGAATCTAGGTAACCTTTAAATATCCTAATTAGTGAAAAGTCATAGGTACATCTCTATCAGTGGATCTCAACCTTCCTAATGCCGCGACCCCTTAATACAGTTCCTCAATGTTGTGGTGACCCCCACCCATAAAATTATTTTCGTTGCTACTCTATAACTGTAATTTTTCTGTTATGAATCGTAATGTAAATATCTGATATGCAGGATGTATTTTCATAGTTACAAATTGAACATAATTAAAGCACAGTGATTAATCACAAAAAACAATATGTAATTATATATTGTGAAATATTTATAATTCAGAAGTGTCGTTTTACCTCCAATACTGCTGCTTTCATCACAGCAGCAGCTTTCTACACAGTAGCTGCTCTCTACACATGTGTGACTGGTCCGCATAAGTACATTATGGTGCCAACCCTGTCACATACACCTGTATTTGTACAGGGTATATGTGATGGGGTTGGCGCAATGATGTCATCACGCCAGGTACTCGTATGTGGGCGTATCTGCATGTGGGCGGACCCACCTGGAGATGGATAGAGGAGTGGTGTCTCGGTTCCTAAGACTATCGAAAATATGTGTTTTCCGATGGTCTTAGGCAACCCCTGTGAAAGGGTCATTCGACCCCCAAAGGGGTCGTGACCCACAGGTTGAGAACCGCTGATCTATATGTATACATTCAGCCTTTTTTGTTTAACGGCCCTATTTTATTCAAAAGATAGAATTACATGATATAGTTTATCACATTCAAATTTAAAAAAGGAAAAAAAGAAACAGTAAAATTCTATTCTGCATATACCCTAGAATAAGATGTGAATCTATTAATACAGATTATGGTTTTACAGTTTAAAGATACTGTATTTTTTGCATAACATGCCCCCTAAACACTGGCTGATTGCTTTAACTGGTATTCAACCAAAGAAAATGTTATTTATTCCAACACTGAAGGAAAACAGGCTGACTGAGACCTACTAAAATGTGTTATATTAGCATCTGACATACCATCTTTCTACTGGATCTTTAAAGATAATTTTAATTTGATATAAATTTGACTAAAGAAAAATCTTTAAAAAACCTAAGATGTAACTCTATAGCTGTGCTGTCCAGTACGGTAGCCATTAGACACATCTAATATAGAGTATGAAAAGTGATTCGTTTAAATTGAGATGTGCTTGTAAGGGAAAATACTGAATTTCAAAAATTTAGTATGGAAAATGAATGTAAAGTATCACATAATTTCTTATTAATTATGCAATGCAAGGATAATATTTTGCAGATATTGGGTTAAATAAAGTATTTGATTAATTTTACCCGTTTCTTTTTCCTTTTTTAATGGACCTACTAGAAAGTTTGAAATTAAATTTTAAATTACATTTGCAACTCACATTACACTTCTACTGAACAGCACTGCTCTATAGTAAAAACTGAGGAAAAGATTAATGTAAAATTTCTCAACTACTTATGGTCTAGAGTGAATAATTTCTCCTTAAATCACCAGATTAACACAAACACAGAAACATTCATCAAAAATGCTAAAGTATGTTTTTTTAACTCGAGTATCTATTAATTTAGATAGCCAAAAAGGTATCCAAAAATTCAACAATAAAATAAAAATCTTCATTATACAAAATGTCTAATTTGTTTCAAAATACATTTTCTGTGTTTCCAGTTGCAAATATGTATAGGAGGTTTCTGTGTCCTACTTTCCTTCACCAGGGTTAGGATTGATCTAAGTTTCGTAAATCAAACATGTCATAACGGAACAAAAAAACAGGCAACTTACATTTAATAAATACAAAAAATTCGTTACTCCTAAAAAACTTTACAGTTTACATAAAGTTTGAGAAAAATAAGTCCAAGTGATTTATCATTAGTAAAAGATACACTGATTGACATTTCCTAAATATCCTTAAAAGCATTCCAAGTCTCTATTACACTAAACTTAGACATAAGCATAATCCACAATTCATCAGTTCCATCCCTGTGCATAAATACCTATCAGAAATGAATAATTATTTCTACCAAAAGATGCAAATAAGTTCAGAGCAGCCTTATCTATAGCCCCAAATCTGAAAGATTTTCAATTTGCATTCCCAGTAGAAGGGATAAACAGTAGTATAATCAGACAATAGAACAGAGATGATTTGGGGGTTGGGAGGGAACGACACAAACAGCATACACATGGATGATTCTCACAGACATGTTGGTCAAAAAATTCTGACACAAAAGAATTCACACTGCATGATTCCAATTGTATAAAATTACAAAAACAAGCAAAACTAATCTATGGTAAAAATATCAAAGACTGGTTTCAGTTGGGTGGAGGCAGTATTGACTAAGAAAGAGCCTTCTGGAGTGGGGTGTTAGTTATGCAGGGTATGCTTATGTAAAAAAATCACTGAACTAGCAAGTAAGAGTGTCTATTTGACTATATGAAGTTATACTTCTGTAAAATATTTTTTTTAAAGAAATAAGTAAAAAAGAAAGTCCTAACATGTTATTTTTAAAAAAAACTGCTTAAAACCAATGCCTATTCTGAAGTTACATGAGACTTTGTCTACTTAAACTTGTACCTAAACCTAATTTCTTTGCAGTTTCTTTTTTAATAAAAAATAGTAACCAGTTCAATGTTATTCAAACCTACTCTTAATTTTGAGATTTTATAACTTTCCTAATTGGATAATTCCTAATGACACTGAAAGTATAACAATCCTCTTCATAACTAATAGATATAAATGATTTGAATGTTTATATCTTCAAATATTTAATTGTAATAGTTAATTCTTATTTTCAATTTAAAAAGATAACTTTAAATTCCACAAGTTCCTGATATATTTCTTTCACTGATAAAGTATATATAGTAAAAATTAAATTTAATATTTGGGGGTTCATTTACAAGTTCTTTTACAATCCTAATGTGCTTATTTAAATTTCTCATTTGCTTTTACTCCCTCTCCCCCCATAACTGAGAGGAGGGAGAAAACATTGCATAGCCAATAGTGAATAATCATGAACATAGAGAGCTTCTACTTTACAAATTCAATATAATATGCTATGGAAACATAAAAGACTATATTCATCGAATTCTAGAAATTCATACTACTTAGCAAGTGATTAAAAAATTGTAAAACTGATGTTTGAGTTATTTCACGTGAATATAAATCATGAATATCCAGTTAATAAAGTAAATATGTATTAACAGAAGTTGACCTATTCACTACAAATTTAACAAAAGGTAAAAGGTACCAAAAAGGGTAAAATGTAAATACTTTTGATGTTTAGAATAGGCAAAACTGGTTCCATCGAAACCAAATTTCTTTTACACACACCAAATTCAGAATTTACCAACACTGAAAGGTATCCCTCTCCTCTGTTACAAATGTCAAATAACTACCTTATCAGTATCTGAAACTTAAAGAAAAATAAATAACAAAATATGGCAAAATATTCTTTCTTTCCTATAATTGCAAAGGCTTAACTACATATATAGTTTTTTAAATGGAGCAATGAGACAAAATACAATACCTTCTGGATGTAGTTCTCCCAAATGTTAAAATAATGGGTCCTGAGAACAGCTTAAATAGCTCACAATCCAAACATTCCCTAAAAATGAAGAGAAATAAGTGTTATTTCAAGTGTATCTTACCTAAAATATTTCAATAGCACGTTTTACAACAAAATCTTAACTACTGACTAAAATAAACATCTCAAAAAACAACAAAGAAAATGTATTGCAAAATGAAAAATATCCTTAATTATAATGCTTTCCTTGGGCATGGCTGTTGACTACATCTGATGAAAAATATGCATTATAAAATTATCTACCAAAATACACTACCTGTCTGTCTTTATACTACGTAAACAGTATCATTTATTTTCAGGGATGTGAGAGGAATGTCAACAATGGAGAGGAATTCTTATCCAGAATTCAGAGAGAAAAAGTATTAAATTTGGTAGTCAACAGAGTTTGAAACACCTAATTTTTTCAGGAACAAAAGCAAGGGTAAAAAAGTTTGGGGTCAGCAAGAGACATAGCCTACACTTTATTTAACATTTGGTGGCTGAGAAAACTTTCTATCGATGAAGAGGCCAATGGACAGTGAAGCTCGCTGGTGATGAGGAAGGCATGATGCAAACTCCCTGATTCCACTATAGCAGCATTCCATTTGTATCAGCTACTGCACATGTCTGGTTTACATTTCTAGAATCCTCAATTCCTATTGTATAGCCTATAATCTGTTCTCATGGATGACAGCTTACCTCAAAAATAAATTCATAAACCTGAACTTTAACTTCCATAAGTAAAGTAGCTATTTTTCATTATTACTTCATTTGACCAGTATGGTTTTACGTCTCCGTAAAACCATACACAGGTACCAAGTATCTTTGAGTGATGCTCCCTCAACATCCTAGCAAAGCAGGCTCTTCAGCCACTGTATCCCTCTAGGTCATTGTTTCTGCATCTTGCTTATTGTTAGTATCTCTGTGACTGTGAACCCTTCATTCATCTTTGAATCCCAATACCTCGCATGGTGCAAAGTACAGAGATGATGCTCAGTAAATGTATGCTCAATGAATCAATGAATCTCAGAGACTTTACCAATTACTATACCATGCTGAAATAAAACTACCATAGAAGGAAAGAAAGTTACATGGCCCAACTATCATGCAGAATACTTGCCTTTCTTTTAATTTAATTACTTCATTCCCATTTTCTCTCTCCCCCTACCCCACACACAGTTCGTCATCAGCAAGACTCTTCCAGTATATATGTCAACGTTCCCCAACCCCTACAGATAATCAGCTGAGCTGAGTGGCAGGTCTCCTTTTGGGTATGCATTGGGATTCTAGTCCTGCTGTCCGGGGTCCTGCAACAACTGGTATGATAATTGGACATTAACCCAAATCCCCTAAACATATATATCAGCGGCTCCTAAGCTACCCTCCAGCAGCAGCAGAGAATATCACCTCTATGTGTAAGTCAAAATACCTGGAATCATAACTAAGGGCAGAATGTCCCCAAAATTTTAGAAGCAGACAGAAGGCATCACCTTAAAATAGAATTATAACGTTTAGACAGAAAAAACAAACAAAAACCCTGAAGAGGCCTCCTAGTAATTAAAAAAAAAAAAAGCATTATCATTTCCTATTAGGACGCTAATTTTTCAGCAGCTAATAAAAAACATTACCAAATCATTTTATGTAATATAATTTAACCTTATTTTGACCTTCCTCATAAAGCAAACAAACCTCACTATCCAATAAGGTTCCATCTGAACGATGTAAGATGATAAGCAATACCTTAATTGCATTCATTTACATGACTTTGAAATTATCCTGGGCTGAAGTTACTGACTGCAAGGTCACAGAATACAGAAAAGTAAAATGTATGCAATTTACTGAGGAGGAATGATCTACTTAAGACAGTATGGTAGCACCTTCTCCTTCCCTTATTAGGATACCAAATGCTTAATGCAATCAACAGGTTCAGACATCTCTATTTGAAATATATCACGTATATACACATTGATTTTATAAATATAAATACATATAAAATATACTAAGAATGTGTATTTGAGTAAGTTTATCACATAGTAATGGCTCCCTTATTAAAATCAATCTGCCTGAGTAGAGGCAAAGGACAATTCTATGCCCTAACAGCATTTTAAATCAAAACATGAAACAGGGCTATTATATTTTCCAGCGTCTCATAAACATTTTTAACAACTGAAATTCAGGTTACAAAGCCATAAAAAATTTTAGGCTAAGAACTGCAATCACAGAATCCTAAGTATAGATGATCCCCGACCTCTAATGGTTCAACTTACAACTTTTCAGCTTTATAATGTTGCAAAAGCAATACGCATTCAGTAGAAACCATACTTTGAATTTTGATCTTTCCCAGGTCTAGCAACATGCTGTACTCTCTTGTGACGTTGGGCAGTGGCAGCGCATTGCAGCTCCCACCCAGTCAGCCACGTGATTACACGGGTAAACAACCCATAAGCTACAGTATACTGTGCTGCCAGAGTTTTTAGGATATTGTGCTTTGTGTTTCCACATCCCATCATGCCTACAAAATACGCATCTGTGTCTCCTCCTTCTGGAGAGAAGAAGGGAAGGCGATTACTTTTGAGATGAAACTCAAGATACTTGCCCTAATGTAAGTGTTCTGGAGCACATTTAAGGTAGGCTGGCATAAGCTATGATGTTCAGTGGGTTAGGTGTATTCAATGCACTTTCACTTACGACATTTTCAACTTACAATGGGTTTACCAGGATGTAACTTCATCATAAACTGAGGAATATCAGTATGTTAACAGTTTCTGTTTACATTTTATTTTCCCCCTCCAAACAAGCATATGTTCAACTAATTTCCTTAGAGAAGCAGACTTTACATGTCTCAAAGCCAATACTACCACATTAGTAAAAGTAAGGAAAGACAACAGACGGACAGAAATTGACTACCATAGATTACAGGGAACAATGCATATTCTTCAAAAACCTCAGAATATATCAAAACACACAGAAACAAGTTAACTCTACAACATATCTCCCTTTAGTCTAGCAAAATTCTAACACAAACTAGGTATTATTGTATCTTGAGTTTACTGGAGAAATGAGAAGAAAACTAAAAGGACAGAATCTAGGGTACATTAAAATGTTTACAAAATTAGTACAAATGTAGAGCATCAACTATTTGTTTTAGATTTATTGTAACATCACTAAGAAATTCATTTAAGAAGCATGTCCATTAAATTAGATAAATCTGCCACGTTTAATTTACTACCCAAGTATTTTTAATACTACTCAAACCAATCTTTTGCAATTTAAAGATGATTTAATGAAAGAGAAGCAATGATACAAAATTTATGCTTCTTCACGGAAGGGCAAGGCTTTTTTTCATGTAAATCTGTATTAGATCCAAATTGTTTCAATTGATGCTACTCCACAAAGAACACAAGATGAATACATATTTAAGTACTATATTCCTAAATAAACTCCAATACCATGATGTCACTTTGACCTTTCTAAATGAGAAATAAAATATCTCAATTTCTCTCTACAAGTTTAAGCCAATTCACTCTGGAATCGCTTAATGGTACAATAAATGCATACATATATTTTAAAAAGCACTAGTTACTACTATGATCCATAGGTAATGTTCAGTGACTGTATCTTCTGTAGATATTTTAATTTTCTTTCTATAAACAATTCAGGGTCTAACACAATATACAAGCTGACTTTTGAACAACAGGGTTTGAACAGCGCAAGACCACTTACACATGGATTTTTTTCAATAAATGCCTGTGCTGTTTTTGACCCATGGCTGGGAATTCATGGATGCAGAGGGCCAACTGGATGTACTGTTCTACATCGTTTTATATAAGGGATTTCAGCATCTATGGATCTTGGTATCTATGGGGGTCCTGGAACCAATCCCTCAGGGAAACTGGGGGACAACTTAAGTTTTGGCGTAGTCGAAAGTTATACACATATTTTCAACTGTGCGGGGGTTGGTACCCTAAGCCCCACATTTTTCAAGGGTCTAAACTATGTAATAGGCAACTCATGGTTCACATACTTTGAGAAGGATAAAAGCATGGGGGCCAATCAGAATCTTCTAATAGTGTTTCCAGTCTTTTTGGTTATATTTTTATTTGAACTCAAATCTCATGCTGACAATGATTTTATGATGAAGATGATAATTTTTTGATATCTCTCAAGCACGTCCCTCTGTCCACCCAAAAGGCTGAATGCATTATGTTCCTACAGCTCATTGATTATGATCACAGTATCTAAAGTTCTATTTCATCCACATGAAATCAGCATTTTCCTTTCTGTGGATATATTAAAGCCAATTTTTATAACCACAATCTAGCCTGTATATCTTTAAATGGACTACAACTTTGAATTGAAAATAAATTATATTAATGACATCACTCTTACAGCTCTCAAAGTTAAAAAGCAAGAAATAAGTCCGAGTCTAGGTTCAGACACACTTCATTTTTATACAATGCATCAATCTCAGGTGAGCATAGTCAATCCTACTTACAAAATGAGTGTTAGAGTGAGCGTGTGTGTGTCTTTCCATTTTTTCTTTTGTCTTCCCTTTCCTCTTCCCCAGGAGGTCAACGAACAAAATAGTACACTTTGTAAATATATATGATAATTTGGAGGTAAATTATCCATGGGTCTGAAATAGAGGCACCTAAATAAAGAAACTCACCAATTCTGTATGTAAAATTAAATCCTGGACTGGACAGGGTTGCTTAGACAATACTCAGAAAAGAACAATATGACTCCAAATGTAAGGAACAAGCCAAAAGCATTCCATAAAATCAAGTGTATCTAGAGTAGGCCATATCTTCATTTGAAACACCTGCTACAGATAATGTTGATTTACAAATACATCTACGAAATATTTTTATTCCTCTCTCACCTGTTCCCCTACCCATCCTGAATTCAACTCCATAAACAGCAATTATTCCCTATTATAAAATAGTTGGCAGTTAAAACAATAAGCCAATGAAGAAAGTACAATATTCTATAACTGACATTTACTGCATTGGCCTTGGACTTCTAATCTTTACCAGACAGGC